TCCCTCAGCCGCTCCCCATCAGACTTGTGCTCCAGACCCTTCCCCACCTTCGTTGTCCTTCTCTGGACTCGCTCCAGCACCTCAAGGTCTGTCTTGTGGTGAGGGCCCCAGAACTGGACACAGCACTTGAGGTGCGGCCTCACCAGTGCCCAGTACAGGGGGACAATCACTGCCCTGGTCCTGCTGGCCAAACCATTGCTGATACAGGCCAGGATACTGTTGGCCTTCTTGGCCACCTGAGCACACTGCTGGCTCATGCTCAGGCAGCTGTCAACCAACACCCCCAGGTCCTTTTCTGCCAGGCAGCTTTCCAGCCACTCGTCCTCAAGGCTGTAGCATTGCATGGGGTTGTTGTGACCCAAGTGCAGGACCTGGCACTTGGCCCTGTTGAACCTCATACAGTTGGTCTCGGCCCATGGATCCAGCCTGTCCAGATCCCTCTGCAGAGCCTTCCTGCCCTCCAGCAGATCAACACTCCCACCCAACTTGGTGTTGTCTGCAAACTGGCTGAGGGTGCACTCGATCCCCTCATCCAGGTTATTGATAAAGATATTAAACAGAACTGGCCCTAATACTATAAATCAGAATTTGTCGAACTTGTTTAAAAGCACTATAAGGAACTTGTGCCCATAGAGTCCAGTAATCATTCATTTTGTAAACATAACTTCCATCCTAACAAAGGTTAGAACTAGTGGAGACAAACCCACATATTCTTCAAAATATTTTGGAATCCAACTGCTACTACAAACAGAAGTTTTCTTTTTTTGATTTCCAGGCCAATTTTATCCATAGCCAATTTATATCCATTTGTTCTTAGCCAGTGGTAGGTGTCAGATAAATAGTTGTTGCTTCTCTCGTGGACTGGCTTCCCTAAAGAATTCATAGGCAGCTTTCATTTTGCAAGAACCTAAACAAGCTAGGCTCCTTTTAGTCCCTGCTGCTGTAAAAGCTTTCCTCTTGGCCAGCTAGAATGCATTATTCTTGAAAATTGGTGACTGGATCTGTATGTTTTCAGGTACTTAAATTTCAGGTGAGGTCTTGCTTACATTTTTAACAATGTTATTGATAATTATTCTTCTTTAATGGAAATACGTATCTTCTGAGGTCACATCTGTCTGTTCCATAGTGCTATTTTATTGATCTCTTGTGGTACTGCTGTGATGGACTTGGAGGCCGTAGTCTCTTTCCAGCAGATTATATCTGATCTGTTGTTTTAAAGAGGATGAATTATGAGTGTCAAACTGGAACGCAGTTATTCTTAAGCTCCTAGGTTTGGCTGTAGCATTGCCCATGCTGATGGCCTCAGGGAAGTCTGTGTGCTACCCTTCCCAGCCTAACTTTCCTGTGGGTAAAGTGAAGATTTATATTTCTGAAGGCTATTGAGAATGGCTGGTATTTGCATAGAACCATGAAAATGCCGAGCTCTGAATGTTACTGCTGAATTTGCTTTTAATGTTCCTGGAAGGATGAGGCTAAATTTGAAAGTACAAAACTGTAACAAAAATATCGCTATAGATTTTGTTGTAAAAGTTGGTTTATTGTTCCATAGTCCTGCAAATAGAAGCATGTTTTCCTGGTAGCTGAACTCTCCCTGAAGCTTGAAAATGCAACTTTTTTTTTTCTTTCCTAACCAGCAGTAAAACAATTTTTCACTGGTTCAGTCCATTGACCTGTGAAACACATTCTCTGGTTTCTTGTGCCGTAGGTCTTGTGGCAGTATGGGGGCTATTGGGGAATGTCGATAAAACAGACAGATGTGGAATATACACAGATCTTCTTCCACTGCAGCATTTTTAAATACTGCTGAGCTCTCTTCTTCCTTACTTGCAGTGCTGCTTCATTTCTTGAATTCCATGTTGTAACTTAAATCTGAATTAGTGTGTCGGTTTATGAAAGCAATATTGGCAAAATGTTTTTCTTCTCTTAATACCTTGATCTTAATGACCACAGAGACTCGTAGTTGTGACAAAAGCTTTGTTACTGAATAAGCAGGGGTCTTGCTGTGTTTGCGTTTTTCTACTTAATGAGAATCATCAGGAGTCAAATACGTTCTTTGAGAACAATAGGCCTAAAAGCTACACATGTGTTAAAGTAAATGTTTTCAAGATGAACTAATTTGAATGAAAACTAGAAGTATGTTTAAAACAATAATGTTTGCAAGACATCAGATTAATTCTCATTTTTATGATCCCAGCGCGTAAATGTTATGGAAGCTAACGAGGATGGCTGTAGGGAAGAGAATCTCATCTCCACTTAAGTTTGTTATATTTGGGTACTCTTCAAATTCCTGCGATATTTTACAGCATAAATACACTCTAGACACTTTTCGATGCTTTTTGCTTAAATTCGGAGTCATTTTAATAATTAGGTGGCACCTTTTTCCTTTTCTTTTGAGGAATCTGAAGTCACGAAGCAGAGGAATTTCATTCTGTTTACTGCCAAAATGCTGATACTCTAGGGCTTTTCAGCAATTCATAAAGTGCTACGTAGCAAGTTAAAAATGCAGTGAATGTTCCAAGCAATTAAAATGTCAGGAAGAATCAAGCAAGCAGAGTTTAATTATCTAAATTAGTTTGCATAAGATACCAGGGTTAATGCTACACTTGCAGAGCACGCTATGAAATACGTAATATTTGTTGCTGGGTAGGAGACCTGTTTTTCACCTGCAGGTCCCTCTTGCAGATGCTTACGACAGCAGCACACGCTATATTAGAGGTGAGGTTTTTGATTTGAAGACTTGCCTCTGGAAAGGTCCCCAGCAACATGGGTCCGTGCTTAGTCTCCATCATCCTCAGGGTTTCCTTAGCATCTCCTGTCCTTAGCCCAGACCTTGAATAATACGAGGCCTGGCTGTGGGGTGGTATGTCCGTTTAAACAGCACTTACGATTAATTCCCTCCCTGTCTTTTAACAGAGGTTCGAATCGCTGCAGTTGAAGCCCTCTGTATGTTGGCTCAGTCCTCGCCTTCTTTTGCGGAGAAATGCCTGGATTTTTTGGTTGACATGTTTAATGATGAAATTGAGGAAGTGAGGTTGCAGTCAATACACACTATGAGAAAAATTTCCAACAATATCACGCTGCGGGAAGACCAACTGGATACTGTGTTAGCTGTCTTGGAGGTAAGAAATTCTTGAGGGAGAAAATTGCATTC